CCCCCCAACCCCCCCCCCCCCCCCCCCCAAAAGGGGTGCTCACCGCCTCGCCGTCCCCGCAGCACCTGCGCCTCCTTCCTGCGCTGCAGCTCGGCCATGTAGGCCAGGACGCGGGCGTTGCAGAGCAGCAGCCCCTTGGCCGCCCCCAGCGCCTGCTCCCGCCGGCTGCACGCCGCCAGCAGCTTGCAGGCCCCCTCCCGCAGCCGCAGCTCCCGCTCCATCTTCCGCTGGATCTCCGTGTCCTGGGGGGGGGGGGCACGGGGGCACAAATCCCACACACCACCCCCCCCGGGGGGTACACCCCCCCCCCCCCCAGCCGCCCGCCGGGCCCCCGTCCCACCAAAATGTCCCGTCCCCCGTCCCTCCCCACCCCGGAGAGGGGGGGGGTCGCAGCCCCACTGACACCCCCGCCCCAACCCCAGCCCGGTCGTGCACCCCACGGAGACGTCGCGTGCCCCACGGGCGGAGCCACGCGCCCCACAGATACCCCGCGGGGGATCCACATACCCCGCAGACACATCATGCACCCCACGGCGGAGCCGTGCACCCCACGTATACACCGTGCGCCCCACGGGGGATCCACGTACCCCGCAGATGTGCCGTGCACCCCACACATACATCACGTACCCCGTGGGGGATCCGCATACCCCACAGACACGCCACACACCCCACGGATACATCATGCACCCCACGGCGGAGCCGTGCACCCCACGTATACACCGTGCGCCCCACGGGGGATCCACGTACCCCGCAGATGTGCCGTGCACCCCACACATACATCACGTACCCCGTGGGGGATCCGCATACCCCACAGACACGCCACACACCCCACGGATACATCATGCACCCCACGGCGGAGCCATGCACCCCACATATACACCGTGCGCCCCACGGGGGATCCACGCACCCCACAGACACACCACGCACCCCACAGATGTGCCACACACCCCACAGAGACATCATGAACCCCACGGGGGAACCACGCACCCCACGGATACGCCATGCACCCCACAGGTACGTTGTGCACCCCACGGATACGCCATGCACCCCACAGATACACGTTGTGTAGCCCGTGGGGGGAACCACGCACCCCACAGGGGAACCACACACCCCACGGATGTCCCACGCACCCCACGGCGGAGCCATGCACCCCACATATACACCGTGTGTACCCCCCCCATGGGGGAACCACGCACCCCACAGATGTGCCACGCGCCCCAGATACATCACGCACCCCGCAAGAGAACGACGCACCCCCACAGATTACACCCCACGGACGTGCCACGCGCCCCACAGATACGCCGCACGCCCCACAGATTCGCTACATGCCCCCCCCACCCCCCCAAAAACATGCCCCACACCCCGGGCATCACAGACACCCCCAGCGGGGTGTGTGCGTGTGGGGGGGGGGACACCCCAACCAGCCCACGCCCCCCCAAACTCACTGCCGGTACCGGTTGCTGCTCCATTCCGGTGCACCCCCCCCCACCCAAACCGCCCCCCCCCCCGGGCCCCCTGCCCGCGGAGCCGCAGTGACGTCACTGCCTGCTATAAATAGCCCTGAGCAGCAAAAAGGGGGGGGGGGGGGGGCAGCAGCAACCGGGAAGTGGCCCCCCCCCCCAACTCAAGACCGACCCCCAAGTCCTCCTGGGGACCCCCCCCGGGGGATATGGGGGGATCAGGAGGGGATCAGTGGGGAGCGCTCTCTTTCTTCCTGGGACCCACGGGACCCCCCGGACCCCCGGACCCCGGGTTCCCCGGGGTCCGGGGGTCCGGGGGGGTCCCGTGGGTCCCGGGGGGGGGGTCCCCCCAATTCCTACCTGGAGGCTAATGGCGATCTGGCGGATATAAAGCATGTTGAGATCTTCCAGGATCCGCAGCTTCTCCTGCATCTGAAGGCGTTGCCCCCTCCCCGCCACCTCCATCGGGACCACCGGGACCCCCCCAGTTATTGGGGGGGGGGGTGGAGGGGGGGCTGGGGGGGGGGGTGGAGGGGGTTCCCCGCATCCACCCCGCTTCCCCGCCCGCGGACCCCACCGCATCCAGCGCCGTCGGGAGTCGGGTCTTTCTGGGGCGCAATCCCCCCCCCCCCACCCCAAACTACGGCTGCGGAGAGAGAAAAGGGCCCTTTCATCGGCCCCCCCCCGGGTACTGGCTGCTCCCCCCCCCCCCCCCCTTTTTCATCCGCCCCCCCCGGCCGCCCCCTCCCGCCGAACAACCGGGCACTGTGCGGGAAAGGGCAGCGGGGGCGGGCGGGGGGGGGGGGGGGCAGAGAGGGGAGGGGGGGGCACGGACAGGGAGGGGGGTGCAGGGTTTGGGGTGCGGGGGTGGGATAAGGGGCGCGGGGTCAGGATGGGGGACGGGGACCGGAGGAGGGGTGCTGGCGGTGGGGCGCAGGGACGGGAGATGGGGTGCAGAGCTGGGGGGGGGGGGGGATTGGGGTGCGGGGGGGGGGCGGGGGGGGGGCGGGGGGGCCCAGGACAGCGGGTGCCGGGACCGGGGGAGGGGCCGGAGCGGGGCCGGCGGGGGGATGGGCTCCCGGTGCCGCTCCCGGTGCCCCCCCTCCGCGGATCCCCCCGCCGTGTCCCGTGTGTGTGTCCGTCCCCCCCCCCCCCCCCCCGGTCCCGCCGCCCCCTACCGGCCCCGGTGGGCGCAGCAGCACGAGCCACCCCGCGACCCCCCCGGTACCTCCCGCCGCTCGCGCTCCGCCGCTCCGCCGCGCGCAGGAAGGCGGCGCCCGCCCGCCCCCGGCCCGCCCCCCCCCCCCCCCCCCCACACCCCCCCCCCCCGATCTGCCGCCGGCTCCGCGCACAGCGGCCGCCCCCCTCGCCCCCACCCGCGGCGGCAACGGCGGCTCCGGGACCCCCCCGCGCACCGGGACCCCCCCGCCATGTGCACCGGGACCCCTCGTGTGCATCAGGACACCCCCCCCCCCCCGCCGTTTACACCGAGCCTCCCCCCCGCCGCGTGCCCCGGGCCCCCCCGAGCCTCGTGCCCGGCCGCGTGCCACGTTGCCGGTGCCGCGGGGGCGGGGGGACGGTGGGACACCCCCCCCCCCGCCCCGGGGGGTCAGGGCACGGGGTGTGCCGGCACCGGCGAAGGCCGGACCGGGGCCCCGCCGCCCCCCCCGCGCCCCTCACCCCGGGGTCCCGGCCGGGCCCCCCCCCCCCCGGGGCGGCAGCGGGAGCGGCGGGTGGGGCGGGTCCCGGTCCCGGTCCCGGTCCCGGTCCCGGTCCCGGTCCCGCCGCGCCGGCCTGGCACCGAGCCGTTCGGCGAGGGCGGCCGTGCCGGGGGCGCGGGCGCTTCCCGCTCTGCCGGGGCGGGAAATCCCGGCTGGGCCGGTGGTGCCGGCGGGACGAGGGCGGCGGGTGCCGGGAGCCGGGGAGCGGCCGCCGGTGCCGGTGGCGGTGACAATACCGGTGCCGGTGGCAATACCGGTGCCAGTGCTGGTGGCAATACCGATACCGGTGGCAGTGTCAATACCGGTACCAGTGCCGCTGACAGTGCCGGTGGCGGTGCCAATTCCGGTGCCAATTCCGGTGCCAATTCCGGTGCCAGTGCCGGTGCCGGTGGCAACACCAACACCGGTACCGGTGCCGGTGCCGTACCTGCGCGGGGTCGGCCAGGAGGCCGAGGCGGCAGCGGCCGCGGCGGGTCTCCATCTCCAGCGCCGACCCGCGGGCCACGGTCACCCGGCTGCGCTCGCTGCGGCAAAACATGGTGCCGGTGCCGGTGCCGGTACCGGGGCTGCCGCCGGCTCCCGCCGCACCTTCCCCCGGCGCCCGGCCCGCGGCAAACCCCTCCCCGGCCCCGCCGCACCTGGCACGGGGCGGGACGCAGCCTGGGGGGCACCGGGGGGGCAGCGGGGGGGCAGCGGGGGCACCGGCGGGAGCGCGGCCGGTACCGGGCGGCTCCTGGCACGGGCGGGACAATGGGCCGAGTCAGCGCCCGCAGCTGCGGGGCCGGGGGGGGCCGCGCCTGGGGGGGGTGTGGGGGGGGTGTGTGTGGGGGTGTGTGTGTGTGTGTGTGTGTGTGTACACGCGTGAACCGGCGCGGGACCGCGCACGCGGGGCCGGTGTGTTCACACGCGCGCGCGTGCACCCTCCCCGCGGAACCCGCCGCCCCCCGGCCGCCCCGGCTCCCGGCGGCGGGTTCCGCCCGGGCGGCGCACCCGCTTGCCCGCTTCAAAGATGGCGGCGGCGGCGTCACCCCCGCCCGCCTCGCCGCGCCGCGCCGCGCCGGGCGGAAGCGGGTCCGCGCGGAATCGGTTCCCCCCCGGCCCCGCCGGATGAGCAAGGCCCGGCGGCGCGGCGCGATGGCGGGCGGCGAGCACGGTGAGGGGCGGGCGGGCGGCGCTGCCCGCCGGGGCCGGGGGCCGGCGCCCCGGGCCGGGCCGCGCTAACGGCGGTGCCCCCCCCCCCCCCCCCGCAGGGGAGGAGGCGGAGGCGGGCGGCGGGCACGGGTCCCACAAGAAGAAGCACAAGAAGCACAAGAAGAAGCACAAGAAGAAGCACCACCATGAGGCGGGGGCGCCGCCGCCCCCCCCGGCCCCCGGGCCCGCCGCCGGCCTGCGCAAGCCGCAGCTCAAGCTCAAGATCAAGCTGGGGGGGCAGATCCTGGGCACCAAGAGGTGAGGGGGGCCGGGGGGTCCCGGCCCCGCGGGCCCCGCGTGGGCGCCCGTCCCCGCGCCCTCGCCGGGCCCCCCGCGCCCCGGCCTCACCGGCCGCCCCCCCGGCAGCGTGCCGACCTTCACGGTGGTCCCCGAGGCGCCGCGCTCGCCCTCCCGCTGATGGTGGTGGACGAGGAAGAGGAGCCCACGGAGGGGGTGCCCATCGAGCAGTACCGCGCCTGGCTGGGTGAGCGCTGGGGGGCGTGGGGGCCGATGGATGGGGGGGGGGGGGGGGGAGCCCCGGGGGTGGGGGGGCCGGGGCAGGCAGGGACGCGCTGATCCCCCCACGCACCCCGCAGCGAGCCGTGCCCCCCCGCGCTGGGGACAGGCTGGGCAGCGCTGCGGGGGCAGGGACGCGTCCCGCAGCCCCCCCGGGGCAGTGTAGAGTCACCCCATCGCAGCTTCGGGGGCAGCCCGAGCCCCCACACCCCCCCACACCCCCCCCCCCCCCGCCGGTGACTGTTCTCCCCGCCGCCACCCGGCCCAGATGAGGACAGCAACCTGGACCCCTCGCCGCTGCCGGACCTGGACGCCGAGAGCTGCTTTCCCGCCAGGGAGGAGGAGGAGGAGGAGGAAGAGCGCTGGCTCGACGCCCTCGAGAAGGGCGAGCTGGACGACAACGGGGAGCTCAAGAAGGAGGTGGATGAGTCCCTGCTGACGGCCCGGCAGGTGAGGGGGGCGGGGGGTGCAGCCCGGGATACCCGGGGCCGTGGGGCTGGTGCCCGCCCGGGAGAGGCGGGGAGCGGGGTCCCCCGGGACTGGTGGAGGGGCCTGGCCGTGGTGGCGATGATCCCCCCCCCGCCCCGTTCCCCTGCAGAAAGCCCTCCTGCACAAGCAGCAGAGCCAGCCGCTGCTGGAGCTGCCCATGGGTTACAAGGCGAAGGAGCTGACGGAGGAGATGCTGGTGAAGCGGGAGGAGCGGGCCCGCAAGCGGCGGCTGCAGGCGGCCAAGAAGGCGGAGGAGAACAAGAACCAGACCATCGAGCGCCTGACCAAGACCAACAAGGCCAAGGTGAAGACACTGCGGGAGCGCAAGGCCAAGCAGGCGCCCTGCCCCGTCGTCCACTACTGCAACGCCACCGACCGCATCACCGTCTCCTTCCCGGCGGGCATGGCCCTGCCGCTGCCGCCCGCCCCGGCCCCCGCCGTGCCCCCCGCCGTGCTCTGCGGCGTCGCCGGCTGCTCCAACCACAAGCGCTACTCCTGCTCCCGCACCGGGCTGCCGCTCTGCAGCCTGGCCTGCTACCGACGGAACCTCCTGCTGCAGGAGGCCGCGGCTTAGGGCCGGAGCGGGGGGTCAGGGGGGTCCCGGCCCCTCTGCTATGGACAGAGTGGGGGGGCCCGCGGCTGTGGGGCGGCCCCGGTGGGGAGCGGGGGGGGGTTGGGGGGGGGGGGGTCCCGGGCAGGTCCCGCGGCGGTGCCACCGCCCGGTGCCGTGGAGCTGATTAAAGGTTTTTGGCGAAGGAGCTGTGTGTGGGTCCGCGGGGGCAGGGGGGAAGCTTGCCCGCCCGCACGCCCCCCCGAAGTGTTGTGGTACAGCCCGGATCCCCCCCCCCCCGGGGATGTTGTGGTACAGCCTGCCCCGTGTCCTGCTCACCCCCCCTCCCCGGGGGTGTTGTAGTACAGCCCATACCGTCGTGTCGTCGTCCCCCCCCTCCCGGCAGCTTTGTGGTACAGCCCGCTCCCCCTCTCCTGGGAGCGTTGTGCTACAGCCCGACGGCCCCCGCCCCGCCCCCCGGGCGTATCGTGGTACAGCCGGGCTCGGGGGCGGGGCACCGGGAAGCGCCCCAGGGCAGCGCCCATTGGCTGAGGCGCTGCCCGGCGGAAAGCGGCGGCGCTGGTTGGTCGGTCGCTCCGCCAATCGCGCGCTCGGGTGGTGCCTTCGCTGCGCGTTGGCCGGGCTCCCCCGAAGGCCCGCCCCGGGGGAGGGCCTCGGCCGGGCAGGGGCGGCTGCGGCGCGGTGCGAGGCTGCCGTTGGCCTCCGCGCCCGTCAGTCAGGGCCTGGAGGGCGGGGCCGCGCCCGCGGTTGGCGGCGGCGGCCGCCAGTCCCCGGCGGGGGCGGGGCTCGGTCCCTTTGTCTCTGTTGTTGGGCGTGAGGCGCGGGCAGACGGAGTCCGATTGGCGGGGGCAGGGCGGCGGCGGCGGCGCCGATTGGCGGGCGGCGGCGAGGCGGCGTCCGATTGGCCGGCGGTGGCGGCGGCAGGGGGCGGGACCTTCGGCCCGGGCGTGATGGCGGCGGCGGAGGCTGCGGCCCGGGCGGCGGCGGCGGGTCGGGTGGCCGCCATGGCGGCGGCGGCGGCGGCGGCGGCGGCGGCGGCGGGGGGGCAGCGGCTGCTGCTGCGGGCGGCGGGGGCCGGGGCCGGGGCGGCCGAGCGGGCGGAGCCGGCGCGGGGCTGCGGCGGGCTGTAGGCGGAGCCATGGAGCGGCCCGGGAGCGGCGGCGCCGAGGGGGCCTGGGCCGCGCTGCTGGGCCGGCAGCACCAGCAGGTACCGGGGGGGGGGGACACGGGACACACCGGCGGGGGCACCGGCCGGTCCGCGGATCCGCCGTGACAGCGCGGCTGTGCCCGCAGGCCCGGGAGTACTGCCCGGGGGTGAACAACCAGCCCTACGTCTGCGAGACCGGGCACTGCTGCGGGGAGACCGGCTGCTGCACCTACTACTACGAGCTGTGGTGTGAGTGGGGGGGGGGGGGGGAGGCGCCGCGGGGGGGGCGGCTGTTCGGTTGGGGGGTGGGTGACCCCCCCCCCCCGGCTCCGCTCCCCGCAGGGTTCTGGCTCCTCTGGACCATCCTCATCCTCTTCAGCTGCTGCTGCGCCTACCGGCACCGCCGGGCCAAGCTGCGCCTGCAACAGCAGCAGCGGCAGCGGGAGATCAACCTCATCGCCTACCACGGTGCCTGCAACTACCCCGCCTCCATGATGGACCTCAGTGAGTCAGGGGGACCCCCAGACCCCCCCGTTTTCTCCCCCCCCCCCACCACACGCCGGCTGCGTGCTCCACGTCCATCCCCTCCCCGGTGCCGGCCGGGCGCCCCCTGACCCACGCCCCCCCCCCTCTCCTCAGGGATGCTGGCTTCCTTCAAGCTGCCGGCCTACGAGGAGGTGGCCCACCGGCCCAGCACGCCGCCGCCGCCGTACAGCACCATCCTGGCCCAGCTGAGCGGGCCCCGCAGCCGCCTGGGCTCCAGCAGCCTCACCCTCTCGCCCAGCTCGGAGAACTACACCAGCTGCTCCTGCGAGTCGAGCTGCGCCACCTCCCCCAGCAGCACCTCGCTCTCGGCGCGGGCGACGGACGAGACGGAGCGCAGCCGGGCCAGCACGCCCAGCGAGGACGGCGGCACCAGCAGCACCGGCACGGGCGCCAGCTGGGAGCTGCCCCCCGAGGAGGCGCCGGCCCGGGGGAACCCCCACAAACACGCCCTGTTCTCCTCCACCGTGGACTTCTTCGAGGCCGACTGCCACCCCTGCTCCGACATCGAGGAGGGCGAGGAGGAGGAGGAGGGCGGTGCGGCACGGGAGGAAGGTAGCGGCGGGGGCGAGCATTTCCGGCACCGGCGCCTGACGGGGGACTCTGGCATCGAGGTGGGGCGCTGCCAGGAGGAGGAGGAGGGCGAGGGCGAAGGCACCCACCTCCTGGGCAAGGCTGGCCCCGCGCCCCCCGCCCCGCTGCGGGCTGCCGGGGGGGCCCGGCTCCCCTGTCCTGCCCATCTGAGCCCGGCCGCCTGCTCGCCCGGCCCTGTCCTGCTGCCTGCACCCCCACCGGGGGAGAACAGGGGGGATGCTGCACCCCCCCCCCCAGCTCCCTCGCCTTTGGGGTGCGGTGGGTGTAACCCCCCCCTGGTGTGGGGCTGAGCGGGATGGGCAGCGTTTGGGTGGGTGGTGCCGCCTCCCTCCCACTCCTGGTGCTGCCACAGCCCCCAGCTGCTGCCGCCGGGGTGGGGGCTCGGGGCAGCATCCCGGGGTTTGGACTCTCACCACAGAGCCCCCGGGGGTCCCTTGCCCTGACTGACCCCCCAATCCACCTCGTCCCCCCCCCAAGCACACTCCATTGTTGTGTCCGGTACCTCGCGTGGTGTGGGCAGGCACTGGGTGGCCCCCCCCCCCCCGAGCTCCCCTCCCCTCTGAACTGCTTCCAGGGGCTGCTGGGGTCCCACGCCTGCCCTGTCCCCCCCACCCCCCTGCTGCTGGGGGCCTGGGGGGTGGGCGTCCCATCTCTACTGGGGGCCGGGCAGTTCAAGTAGCGTTCTCTCACCATTAAAGAGATGTGGAAGTACGGCCGCCCTGCGCCTGCTGGGGGGGGGGGGGGCAGCACCAGGGCTGAGCTGGGCCCCCCCCACCCCCAGGGAGGGGGTGTCCCCGCGAGCCCGGGGCAGCACAGAGCCGTGACACCCCCCACCCCGATACAGGCAGCACCTGACCACGCTGGAGGAGGTTTATTTTTGGGGGAGGAGGGGGGGGGATCTGCGCCTCCACCCCCACCTGAGAAAGGTGGGCGTGGGCGTGGGCGTGGGCGGGCCCCACCCTAGTAGTCCTCGGCCATCACCAGCACGACCAGCGCGGACCAGCCGGCGAAGGGGTGGCAGCCCTGTCCGCGGCCGGTGCTGTCGCTGTAGTGCTCCCAGAGGAAGCCGCTCTCGGCGTACTGCCGGTACAGGTTGCCCACCAGGTTACGGCGCAGGTCGCGGTAGAGCTCGGCCGCCCGCTCCCGCTGCGGCCCCTCGGCCTCGGCGTAACCGCGCAGCGCCCGCAGCGCCAGGTAGTTGACGTTGACCCAGACGGAGCCGCGCCAGTACGGGGGGTCGTGCTGGGTGTTGCGCTGCATGTAGAGCGGGCTGTCGCGGGACAGGGAGCGCAGCCCGAAAGGCGTCCAGAGCTGCCGCTCGCCCCGCATGGCGTCCAGCAGCGCCGGCAGCCGCGGCGAGTCGGGGCGCAGCAGCTGCAGCAGCAGCGGGAAGAGGCTGACGTAGCCCAGGGCCGCCACGAAGCGCGGCCGGGGCGCCTCCCGCACCTCCCGCACCAGCCGGGGGGCTGGCGGGGGTCTCCCCGGGGCGGCCGGCACGGCCGGCTGCCAGCGCAGCCCCACGGCGGCGCTGTGGTTGCCGTAGTCGGCGAAGGCGCCCAGCTCCGGCGCCCAGTGCAGCCGTTCCAGCAGCCCGTTGTCGCTCAGCGCCCGCTCGGCCGCCCGGTAGGGCCCCGCCGGCTCGCCCAGCCGCTCGGCCACCTCCGCCAGCACCCGGGCGGCCAGCGCCATCCAGCAGCGCAGGTCCAGGTGCCGCTCCTCGGGCGAGGGGTGGGAGGCGCGGGGGTAGTCGTCCAGCCCCGAGGCCAGCGTCTTGGGGTTGAGGAAGAGCTCGGGCTGGGGGTCGCGGCCGCGCCAGCGGAAGGTGAGGGGCAGCGGCCCCGCCTGCGTCCGGTTGAACCAGTCGTACCAGGCGCGCAGGCGGGGGAAGAGGCGGCGCAGGTAGGGCAGGGGGGCGGCGGGCAGCAGCCCCTGCAGCGCCAGCAGCAGCGTGGGGGGGTTGGCCGTCTCGCTGCGCTGCAGCAGGAACTCGGGGGGCACCTTGGCCCGCGCCTCCTCGCCCAGGATCTGCTCGCGGGGGATCCAGCCCTCGACGTTCATCAGGTCCAGCCAGTGGGCGATGACCTCGCGGCTCAGCGCCGGGTCCCAGCGCGCCAGCAGCAGCTGGTGGAAGCCCTCGTCCCAGAGGAAGCCGCGGGGGAAGAAGGAGCGGGAGGGGACGGCGGTGAAGAGGGCGGCCTCGGCGGCGGGCAGCGGGCGCTCCTGCAGCGGCGACTGGACCAGCGAGCGCCCGTGGAAGTAGCCCATCCCGCCCAGGAGCTCGCTGAGGGCGGCCTGGGCGAAGCGCTGCTGCGGCGGGGGGAAGCCCTTGCGGGCCAGCCCGAAGGTCTCCTCGAAACGCCGCTCGAACGCGGCCGCGTGCCGCGCCAGCGCCGCCGACAGCGTGCCCCCCGCCAGCCGCCCGGGCCGGCCCCCGGCGCTGCCCGACTCGAAGGTCACCTCCGCCACGGCCGGCAGCTCCAGCGTCACCTGGTGAAGCAGCAGGCGGCCCCGGGGGGGCTCCCCTGGGAAACCCCCGAAGGCGTCGACGGCAAAGTAGCGGCGGCGCGGCTTCCCCGGCGGGGCGAAGACGAAGCGGTCGCTCAGGCTGCGGCGCACCAGCTCGGTCAGGCGGTGCAGGCCGGGGCTCGGCGCCTCCAGGTAGTTGTAGCTGCGAGGGGGGAAAAGGGAGTGGGGGGGGGGTCAGGGTGGTGGGGAGGGGGCGGGGGGGGGTGGGGGGAACAGGGCTGTGGCCAAGCACCTGGCAAATTTGGGGTCCTCCCCGCTGCCGGCGGTGGGGCGGAGGAAGGTGAGGGTGAAGCGTCCCAGCTCCTCCGTTGCCCCCGTCACGGCGGCCAGGCGCGTCCCGTTCTCCAGGCGCGGCTCCAGCGTCCCCTGCTCGTCCGTGGCGACGTAGAAGAAGAGGGAGAGGAGGGGGGCCGGGCCACCCCCCGCCTGCGGAGGGGGGGGGGGGTGAGGGAGAGGGGAGGAAGGGGGCTCCCCCGGCGCGCGCGGCCCCGCCGCCTCACCTCAGCCCGCGCGGTGACGCGCCAGCTCCAGTCCCCGCCGTGCTCCCCCCCCGGCCGCTTGACGAACTCGGTGGTGAGCAGCAGCCCCCCGTCGCGCAGCTCCTGCGCCCCGAAGTTCTCCCCGTCGTGCATCAGCCAGCCGTAGCGCGACAGCCCGTCGCTCTGCTCGCACGTGTGCCGCAAGCTGCCGCCGCCCCCCCCGCGCTGCTGCAGCCACATCAGGCCTGGGGACACCGGGGGGCGGGGGGGGGGGTCACCCTCGGTTCTCCGGGGCTCCCCCCCCGCCTCCCTTTGCCCTCCCCCCCGCCCTCACCGGTGACGAGAGCCCGCGGGCTGCGCGTCTTCATCCCGAAGTAGACGTGAGGCCGGTACGTGCCCCAGAAGCGGCGGGGCGAGGCGAGGGGCCCGGTGGAACCGGGGGGCAGCGCGGGGGGCGCGGGGTGGGGGGTGACGAGGCGGGAGGCCGCGCTCCACCGGCCCCACTCCACCGCCGCCAGCCCCAGCGCCAGCACCGCCAGCGCCCCCGCCCCCGCCGCCGCCCGCCCGCGGCCCCCCCCCCCGCGGCGGCTCCTCCCGCTCCCGCCGCAGCCCCCGCTCCCGGGGCCGCTCCCGGGGCCCGTCCCCGCCGCGCCGCCGCCGCTCGCCCGCCATGGCGCCCCCCCGCTGACGTCATCGCGGCGCGACGGCGGGGGAAGAGCGGCGCGGCCGGCGAGGGCGCCCCCTGGCGGGCGGGCGGGTAACGGCGGGGTCCGTCTGAGCGCGCCCCCCTTCCCCCCCCCCCCCATCACCCCAAACCCGGCCCCCGAGCGCACAGCGACCCCCCCGCCGCCGCAACACCCGGGCTCAGCACCCCCTTACAAGCCGCTTTATTGTGTCCCTGGGTCGGCCCCACAGCCGGGTGGGGCGGGAGGGGTGGGGGGGGGGGACACCCCCTCCCCACAGCGGAGGGAGGGGGACAAGGGGGGACGCAGTGGGCACAGCGAGCCCAGACCCCCCCCCCCCCCCACCCCCCCAAAACCGCCAACCCGCCGCGGGGCCGATGGCCGGCAGCGACAGCCCCGCTCACTGCTTGACCTGTCCCCCATCGCCCTCGCTCACGAAGCGCTTCCGGCCCCTGCGGAGGAGGAGGAGGATGAAGGGGGGGTGGGTACCCCCACACCCCCCCCCCGACCCCCCCCCCTTGCCGGTACCTGGCGGGGCAGGCGTCCCGCAGCGCCCTGGTGATGATGCCGCGGTCGAAGCAGAGCTCCACCAGCCGCTCCAGCAGCCCGTGGGCCAGCGGCACGTCCAGGCTGATGTCCCCCAGCTCCTCATACACGCGCTGGAAGCCCTGAGGAGGGGGGGGGGGGGGGGTCACGCACACCCCCACCCACCCCCGCACACAGAGCAATGTTAACCCCGGGGGGTGCGCGGCCCGCCGACCCCCCCCGCCTGCCTCCCCACGCTCACCCGGTTCATCTGGTCGAGCGTCACCAGCCCCGTCTCCCACAGCACCTGCAGCAGCGTCACCATCATGGCCACGGGTCCCTCGCCGGAGCCCTCCAGCACCATCACCACAGCCTGGGGGCAGCGGGCGTCAGCGGGGGCGGGGGGACACACACACATGACACCCCTCACCCACACCCCCCCCCCGGGACCCCCCCACCCCTCACCTCGTACACCAGCTCGTGGTGGAAGTGGGGCACCTCCAGCTCCCGCAGACAGTGCTCGGCCTCCGACACCTCCCCCGAGAGCAGGTACTCCCGCAGCAGCAGGTTCATCTGGGGACGGAGGCGACTTTTGGGGGGGGGGGAGCATGGGGGGGGGGGGGGGAATAGCGCGAGCCTGATGGGGAGGGGAAATGGGGACAGCTGGGGGGTCCCCACTGCCCCGGGAGGGCATTGGGATGAGTATGGGGGGGGGACAGACAGTGCAGCTGGGGTCACATCCTGGAGGGGGGGGGGAATCCATGGGGCATATCGCAATGGGGGGGGGTGCAGGGATGAGAGATGGAGCCGGGGGGGGACACACAGGGCACAGGCAGTGCTGGGGGAGGGGGGTGGGGGTGCTGACCTCCTTGACGAGGTGCTTGACGGGGCGCTGGCCCCCCCCGACACCCCAGACGTTGTCCAGGCGGTTGACGTCGCGTTTGATGCGGAGCAGGACGGCGGCGCGGTCGAGGGCGGCCCTGCGGGATCGGGGGGGTGGGGGGGTGGAGGTGTGAGGGTGGCCGTGGCAGGGGCCGAGGGGGGTCCGGGGGGGGGCCCTTACCTGGCGTGCTCGCAGTCCACACGCCCCTTGTAGCGCTCCAGGAAGCCCAGGGGCAGCGCGTGGTCGGCCACCGCCCGGGCGATGAACTGGCCCAGCATCTGGGGACAGAGTCTCAGCCCCCGGCCGCCCCGCCCCACCCGGGCCACCACGCAGCCCCCAGCATGGCCACGGCCCCCCCACAGCCGTGTCCCCTCGGAGCACCCCCCATCACAGCCATGGCCCCCCCACAGCCCTGTCCCCTCGGAGCACCCCCCATCACAGCCATGGCCCCCCCACAGCCCTGTCCCCTCGGAGCACCACCCATCACAGCCACAGCCCCCCCAGCACAGCCACAGCCCCCCCACAGCTGTGTCCCCTCGGAGCATCCCCCATCACAGCCACAGCCCCCCCCCAGCACAGCTGTGTCCCCTTGGAGCACCCCCCATCACAGCCATGACCCCCCCATCACAGCCACAGCCCCCCCACAGCTGTGTCCCCTCGGAGCACCCCCCATCACAGCCATGACCCCCCCCATCACAGCCATGGCCCCCCCCACAGCCGTGTCCCCTTGGAGCATCCCCCATCACAGCCACGGCCCCCTCCTAGCACAGCCACGGCCCCCCCCCAGCACAGCCACGGCCCCCCCCATCACAGCCATGACCCCCCCCAGCACAGCCATGACCCCCCCCAGCCGTGTCCCCTCGGAGTATCCCCCATCACAGCCATGGCCCCCCCCAGCACAGCCACAGCCCCCCCAGCACAGCCACGGCCCCCCCAGCATGGCCATGGACCCCCCTAGCACAGCCGTGTTCCCTCTGAGCAGCCCCCTGCACAGCCACGACCCCCCCCCACGGCCACGGCCCTTCACAGCATCCCCCATCAGAGCCATGGGCCCCCCCCTCACATCCATGTCCCTTCAGAGCATCCCCCCCCCCCAGCGTGGTCGCATCCCCCCGGCACAGCCACAGCCCCCCCCCCCCCCCCCGCCAGCACCTGGGGGGCCTCGGGGGTGTCGAGGATGAGGTCGGGCAGGTCCCGCAGCATCTCGTCGAAGGCGCAGGCGATGTCCTCGGGGGCGAGGACGCGTCCCACCAGGTCGGCGAGCAGGCGGGAGGTCAGCTCGCGGTGGCTGGCCTTCCCCTCCAGCGCCAGCGCCACGGCCAGCGCGGGCACCGCGTGCCGGCGCCCGCCCAGGTTCAGCCCCCGCAGCAGCTCCTGCGCCCGGCACGTCACCCCCCCGCCAGCCGCCCCCGCGGGGGGGGGCACACCCCCCCTCCCCACCCTCCCACCGCCACACCCCCCCACTTTGGCTCCCCCGGGACCCTGCCCCACCACCCCGGGGCTGCCCAGACCCCCCCCAGGGGGGACCCATCCCCGCGGCTCGCCGCCCCCTCCCTGAGGAACCCCCTTTCTCTCCGCCTCACCCCCACGAAGGTCCCCACCCCCAGGAGACCCTGCCCCATCCCCACAGCTCGCTGTCACCAAGGGGCCACTGCCCCCTCCCCCAGGAACCCCCTTTCTCTCCGCCTCACCCCCACGAAGGTCCCCACCCCCAGGAGACCCCCCTCCCCAGGAGACCCTGCCCCATCCCCACAGCTCGCTGTCACCAAGGGGCCACTGCCCCCTAACCCTAACCCTTTCTCTCCACCTCACCCCCACGAAGGTCCCACCCCCAGGAGACCCCCCTCCCCAGGAGACCCTGCCCCTTCCTTAAGGGTCCCGCACTAGCAGCAGCCCCCCCTCCCACATGAAGGGACCCTGCCCCATCTCCGAGAACCCTTGTCACCGAGGGGTCCCTGTCCCCTCCCCCAGAGACACTCCCCCTCCCCAAGGAATCCCCCGAAGGTCCCCACCCCAAGGGACCCCCCCTCCCCAGGGGACCCTGCCCCATCCCCGGGGCTCCTCATCCCCCAGGGGCCGCTGCCCCCTCCCCGAGGACCCCAGCCCCCCCCCCCCACGCACCATGACCTCGCTGGTGTCCCCGTGCTCGAAGTACTCCAGCACCATGGGCTGCACGTTCTTCTCCAGCTCCCCCTCCTCCAGCTCGGGCACCACGGTGGCGTAGACGGTGTCACCCTGCGGGGACGGGACGATGCCGCCGCCGCCCACCCCGGCCGGACCCCCGCGGGGGCTGCCCGTGAAATGGGGGGGCCTGGGGGGGGGGGGCTGAGGCCATACCTGAGCCACCTCGTCATAGTTGGGGTCACGAGCGTCGGGCTCCTGGTAGCCGTAGACCACGCCGGGGGCACCCCACACACCCTTGCCCCCGGCCCCACCTGCACCGGGCACACGTGGGGTGAGTGGGGGGGCTCAGCGCCGGGGGGGCACCGAGGCCCCTGGTGGGACCCCCCCCCCTCCCAGGTAGGGACTCAGCCTGGGGCTGGGGGGAGACCAGCAGCACTGGGGATGCAGGAGGGGTCCCAGCCCCACGGGGGTTGTGGGAGGGGAGTGATGGAGCTTGGGGGGGGGGGGGGGCATGGACACGACACAGGGGGAATTCAGGCAGGGTCCCAGCCCCACGGGGGACACAGAGTGGGGGTCAGGCAGGGTCCCAGCCCCACGGGGGACACAAGGCGGGGGTCAGGCAGGGTCCCAGCCCCACGGGGGACACGGGGCGGGGGTCAGGCAGGCTCCCAGCCCCACGGGGGACACGGGGTGGGGGTCAGGCAGCGTCCCAGCCCCACGGGGGACACGGGGCGGGGGTCAGGCAGCGTCCCAGCCCCACGGGGGACACGGGGCGGGGGTCAGGCAGGGTCCCAGCCCCACGGGGGACACGGGGCGGGGGTCAGGCAGGGTCCCAGCCCCACGGGGGACACGGGGCGGGGGTCAGGCAGGCTCCCAGCCCCACGGGGGACACGGGGTGGGGGTCAGGCAGGGACCCAGCCCCACGGGGGACACGGGGCGGGGGTCAGGCAGGGTCCCAGCCCCACGGGGGACACGGGGTGGGGGTCAGGCAGGGACCCAGCCCCACGGGGGACACGGGGTGGGGGTCAGGCAGGGTCCCAGCCCCACGGGGGACACGGGGTGGGGGTCCCAGCCCCACGGGCGGGCGCTGCCGCCCCTCACCTTTCTTGGGCAGCCCGCGGCCCTTGCCCGTGCGGGAGCGGCGGTCGTGGGCCCGGCCCTTGGGGCTGCCGGGCTCGGGGCCGGGCTCGGCGCCCTCGGAGAGCGACTCGCGGGCCGAGTCCCGGGACGACGTGCGCCGCAGCCGCCGCTTGGCCTTGGCCTTCAGCCGCGCCTCGTGCAGCAGCTTCTCCTGGGGGGTCCAGGTGCGGGGACCCCCGGCCCCCAGCAGCTCCTCGTCCCCATCCTCCTCTTCCTCCGCAGCCGCCGGGCAGGGGCCCTGCGCACCGTGGGCACTGTCACCGCGCACCGGGGCACCGCGACACGACCCGGGACCCCCTTGGACCCCGCACCGTGCA